CTGCCATTTGTAGACAGGCTGGATGTGGTTACACAGCAAGAGGGGCCACTGCACTGTGAACTTAGTGAAATATTGGTCTAGCATGGTGAGGGAGTCAGCTGTGAGATGTTCACAGTTCATAATCAGGCTCAGCGTGGTTAGCACGGCTTGTGACGAGTCTGAAAAGTGCAGCTGTGTGTGCATAACTTCATCCACACAAGAAGCTTTGCTGGTGCAGCAGCAGTGACTGCTATGCACACAGATCCAGCCAAAGAAAAGGCTGAGATTCCTCTATGCAGTTTGGAAACCAAATGGAAAATTCCAACAGCACTATGGCAAAAGTATGTTGGGTTTTTTTTGGACTCACAATATGCAAAATACAACAACTCAGTGCTCAAGTACTCAGTAAATTCATCAAGCTTGTATTAGGACACTCTGGGCCAAATTACAGTTTTGCAGCCCTGTGCACCGAGCTGGACAGTTATCCATAAAGTCACACAGGGTGACAGGAGACGATCGCCCTGACAGGCTGTAGCATTTCCCAGCTATATTGACAGAAGGCTGCAAACGGATGCTCCTCCTGTCTGCCTGGACACAGAGGCACCAGCACTCCCTCTGCACAACAACCTTGCTGATATTTGCAGGTGCCTAGACAGCAGGGGCCCAGCTCACCCAGTTTGACTCAGTGCATTCTGGAATGGTGCTAAAAATGAGCAACTCCTGGCTCATGAGTGGTTCAGCCTCACTGTAGCTGCCCCTGGGATGTCTGCAGGCAGTGGGTGGGCTAGAGAACAGCCCTTCCACCCTCCCTCATTTTCAGTCCTTCCCATCTCCTCTCAAACACCACCACAAGGCCGGTTACCTTAGACCTTGAGACAGCATCTTCCTTGCTAGACTCACTGTTGTCTGTAAATAGGATCGATTTTGATAGACTCACTTAGAAAGGAAAATAAAATTCTGTTTTAACTTCAAGTGGAAATGTTTGTCCCAGTAGAATTCCCATCCCAAATCCTAGCAGTTAGAGTAATTAGTTTTGTTTTCCTGCAGCCTGCACTCCACTGTGTGGAATACAACCCCCACACTTATTAGTGCTATCATCACTGCTCCACACCGCCTTGCTGAGGCGAACGGCTCAGTGCTGTAATCAAAAAAAAAACTCTTGCAAGATGAAAAGAAAAAATATACCAAAGATTAAACTGTACGGACTACCTCTGGGGGTAATAATGGACTATTAAGGAACACGAATACATTTTCATCGTGTTACTTCTCATATACAAAAATCAGGTTTGAGAAACTATTAGGTCATCTCATTTTACACAGTACAATTAATCGTCAATGCCATGAGAGACAGTAAATGAATTAAAAGTCAATTTGAGCCAAGCTAACAAACAAACAAAAAATCCCTTCAACATCTTCTGGTGAAGAACCTTCCCCCTCCCCCAGCTATGCAAAACATGCCTTCTATGAGATGTTGTGCTTGTGATGACCCAGACCCAATTGTTTTAAAGGAACATATTTATCAAAACAAACCTCAAAAATGCCCCATAACAATTTACATGCATAACCTATTTGATGGGCACTCAGAGACCTTAGTTTTCTTCCTGGCTTTGCCACTGCTCTGTTGTATGTGACCCTAAATAGTTGCAACTTTGTGTCATTTTCTCAGGTATAAAATAGGAATATTAATATTTACCCTCTGTTACAAGTTGCTCTGAGATTTATGAATGAGAGGAACTAGACATGGTAAGAGGTACTGCTGTAAAAAGTTAATAACCTTTTAGCCAAAATTTTCACTTTCTCTGTAGTGTTTATTTCCCTTGCTACTTAGTGGAAATAAATCCTAAGTAGACAGAACAGTCCATAGCATATGAATCAAACTGTCTTTTTACAAGGAAGATACTGGATTTTGCTTTTAGAGTGGTGGGTTGCTTTTCGCTGTGTCTTTGTGAGCACTGAAACAATAAAGGGTATTACAAGTTTAATCTATATCATCCCAGGGGACCTTATTTCAAATTCTGATGGGGGTTAATGGAACAAAAAAGCCATCTGGGAAGAAAAGTGCAACTTCTCAATATGGAAAAGTTTAATGCAAAGTGACCTTGATCATTCTTACCAGACAGCACTTGATATTAAGGCTTTATCTATAACTCATCCTGCATATATAATTAAGAGATAGTTACAAAAAAGCAGTATCTTCTACAAAAATCAAAGGTCTATGAAAAACATCATCTTTTTTAAACATGACGTGTAAAAAAACCCAACAAATATCTAGCCACTCCTTCTGAATCTGTGCAAAGAACAGACTGCAGCACACACTCCATCTCACTGAAAAGAAAAACCTAAACTGCGCAGAGAAACAAAATACAGTTGACTATCTATAATTTTCTCCATGTTAATAGTTTTCATGTAGGACTAGAAATAACATCTGCTTGAAGAGAAACACTGGTATTTTGAAAAACCTGTTCTATTTTATTTGACAAGAAAAACTGGTTTGCTTTCTGTCTTACCTGAGGCAGAGTGCCTTTGACTAATGCAGGGATGTCTGCTTTAGAATAACCAATTGCAGCCAAGCCATCATCAACATTCAGATCAAATAGGAATTTCCGGAGCGTGTCTGCCAAAATAAACCCCGCATCTTTGATTCTGGCAGTGCGGATGTCAGCTCCTAAAATAAGACATAATGCCTTGACTGTAGGGTGGAGAGAGCGGAGGAAGTCTGTTCTGGACTTAATTTAATCATAATATCAGCTGAATACATATCCATACATAACAGCCACTGCCCTAAAAGCAACATGAAGTAAAAAGAGGAATCAGTCTTCATTTCGCAGTTGGAATAGTTTGTAAAAGGTGAAATAAAACAAGATCAGGAGAAGCAGGTAGCTGCTGCCAGAACGACTAACTGCCACATGAGGTTAACTTCCTTTCTCTCTGTGCTTACAGGGAGAAGCACTTTTCAGTCTGACTAACTTCTGGGAGGAAAGAAGCTAACGCATGAACGTCAAAGGCATTTATTTTTATGGACAGTGTGCCAAATGCTAACTTTAAGGCCTTGAGTTTGCTGACATCTAGAGGACACAGAAACCACTGAATATTCTGTTGAATCACACATTCGAAGAGGACTAGAGCACGTGGGCTGAGAAAGACAGGAGATGGCAGGGCAGTGTTCAAGGGGCTAAGTAAATCCTAAACAATGTTATTGGAATATGTGCTGAATTGCGTAAGGTAACATAGGACTGAAGAGCAAGAACTGGCATCTTTGAAATATCTACTGAACAGTAATGAAACCATCAATATAAAATGAAAGATTACCAGTATTTCCTACAGAATAGCTTGCTTCCCCTTCTTCAATGAAGGGTCAGGACTTATTTAAAAGTAATAATAAAAACATGTCCAGATAGATGACACAGGTTTCTCCACATGATTTCTTTTCAAAGTAAGCTGAGCTAAATTTGTTCTCTGTGTAACCTCAATGATCTTACATCAGAAATATGTTAGGTCCAAGGATCATACTGAGAGATGAGTAAGAGCACAACACAGCTACAGGAAAAATATTTCCTGTGATCCTCACACAGTTCAGTGTAACATTCAAAGGGGGTTAAGTGAACAGGAGACCAACAAGCTCATTTGAGGAGCTCAGACATTCAGGTAGTAAGACTGGCAGCACTGTAGTAGATAATGTCTGGGAGAAATTGATAAATCAGGTATGACAGAGTCTTGTACAAAGTCTTAGGCTATTGGGATTATGCCAGGCAGTCTGAGTTTATCCAGGGTTTTGCTGTAGAGGAGTAACTGGAACATATTTATCTTCAGATAGTAAAGTAAAAGGGAAAGGGAGGAGGGGAAAAAAAGGACAGCAAATGTGAAGGGCAGTTTTAAAACATTGCTATAGTTCTAGTACTTTCTTTTTGCTCAACCTAAAGGATACATCAGTTTTTGATTGCACTTAGAAAATTTCTGGCCACACGCACATCTATTTCAACTGTTTAAGAATCCACCCAGGGAGGTATTAAGCCTTTTCTGGCTGTACCCAAACTCACAGCTGTACATACACACAACATAACTATTTAGTAATCTGCTTCATGTCATAAAACACCTTCTTAGTCATTGCATTTGGCAACATGACAGATTTGAATCAGCTACTGTAGTCAGTTGGACTCTGGACTGGAATCAGAAGTAAACACCCCAGGTGGGAATTTACAAATTCAATTCCACATGACATGTTTTCGGCAGAGTCCCTTTACAGCAAGGCAGACAATAATGTAGTCTAAATTTCTATTGAGTAAATTAACAGAGTTTTTAGAGACAGAATTTATGGCAGCAGTTCATACCACAAAACCTAAAGGAACTGCTTTTCAACGTCTTGTTTTAAAATCAAGGATCCAAAGTTCACATTCTCTGATATGCTGTGCTGGCCAGTTACCCAGAAACATTTTCTTAGTCTACTGTGAGTTGTGTGTTAATGATGTAGGAATACAGACATTTTGTAGCTTAGTATATGATTCCAACTAGGTTTGTGTTCAGGTTTTGACCATAGGCAGGACGGCATGCTTCAGAGGAAGGCTGAATAAACTTCACAGCCAACATTCATAAAATAAACGGAATTTTCTCCCTAAGTAGTTTTTCTGACCATGCTGTATTGCATCCTCTTTAAAATACAGTGATATTTTCATTGTCTATATGAAAGTCCCACTCTTTCTTGAAACCCACAATGCTTTCGGATTACTTACACAAGGCAGTCATACATGTGACTGGATTGCTGTGACTTGCATACAGAAGGCTGACCATACAAGGGACTGAACACAAAGTTTCCGAACACCAGGAGAGTTGCCCTAACCACTTTCTCTCTACATGGCTGCACATGTGACTGCTCATTAGTGAGTGTGGGTATTAGCAGAAGTTTAGTTACAACACAGAGTCCAGAGCAGACAAAAAAACCCTGACTTTAGATATAAATAAATTAGCCCACTGCAGAGCCATGCTGTCACAGCTAGACTGCTAACAGCTCCAAGATTACACACAGTCATGCTGGGGGTGCAAAGAAGAGGTATCCTTTCTCTAGGACACCTTCTGGTGATGGGTTGCACAGATAACAAAGCACTGTATGAAAAGGTAATCTTTAAATGAGCTGTCAGCTTACAGCATTTACTTTTATTCTGCTAAGAAGCAGAAAAGGCCATTTGTTCATTAACCTACTTCTGAGCCATCACAGACATGTCCACAGAATAGCTATTCCATGTTTTCCCTTGACATTGGCCATGGAGAAATTCCAACACCAACAAACAAGCTTAGGACTACATTAGAAAGACCGAAACCCACAGTTGTGTGCAGTGACTGATCCAGAACATCCCTCCATCTTAATTCATTGTCACAGCGGGGAATTTGTTAAGCAAAATGCTTCCTTTTAGCTAAAAGATGCGTCTGAGTACTGGTTTGTTTTATGGTATGTACTCTAAAGTAACTACTCTCCATAAGGCACCAAGAGAGATGCCAATCATAGCTACTGTCTCCTGATTCGTAACAGTTCTACAGTTAAATTCAGCTGTCCAGTTTTCTAGCCAAGAAGTAGACTTCTCCAGCTTGCTTCTCTAACTACATCATCCAATATCAAAATTTAGCATTGTTCTACCTAAGCTTGCATTATGTGTAACTCAGTCAGACTCCAGAATCTTATTTTTTAAACTTAAAACCCCTGCAACAATCAACTACAGTTGCTTGCACGCATTTTTTTTCCACTCCCAACAAGACATTTTGGAAAGAATTCCATTTGTATGAATAAAATTTATCCATAGAGATTCCTACCTAGTATCTCTGCAGCTTCCAAATGCCGCTCAGGATGTATCTGTGCTGTGAAAGCAAACACTGCTGGGGATGTCAGCACCACAGAAAGGCCATGTGGCTGGGAGAAAAAAAAAAAAGAAAGAAAAAAATAATAAAATCACATTGACAGGACATGTACTTTCAACTTCATTGTGCTCATTAACGTGAGATAACAGAGAACTGAAATAACTGAAATGTATAATACAAAACCAAAGATAAACCAAGTTTTACCACTAAAGAGTGATCCACGTTATAATCCTTTGGTTTATAAGTTTTCACCAAACCAGAAATAGGGTAAGACATTCCATGGCTGGAACAGAGAGTAGAGAGAAAGTCGTTAGGGCAGCTCTCCCAGTATTTGGAAAATATGTGTTCAGTCTCTTGTGCGGTCAGTCTTCTGTATGCAAGTCTCTTAGGTATAGGTACTCAAAAGGTATTTAGGTAGAGATATGGTACGGATATCAGGTACAGACAATCCTCACCACTATGCACCTTAGGGACCTAGCTGTAAAAAAACAGTACCTCCTTACTTTGCAAGTGTGAAGTTACATTATTCCACTAACTGGACTGAAAGATGCTCAGTGACTAAAGTAACATAAATACGCCAAAAATAGCATAATCTGCATCCTTACCTGATCACACTGCCTGAGAAAAATAAACATTAACTTTCAAGTATAATTAAAGAGTGGATTTGCTCTAATAAAAGAAATGAAAGGAAGATCTCTGAAGAGAATGACTGCTAATAACTTCTCCACACATTTCAGGCTTAGGCTTTGCTTCTCTGAGATTTTCACCTAGATGAAACTACATTGCCTTGCAATATTAATTACAGTTCATTTCAGCCTGCTGAAGACCTATCCCACAGACAAACTTACAGACAATTGCATTACTTCAGGAATGGCACAAGATTACTTCATTGCTGTCTCACTGCAGAACACCTGGCACGAAATTCAACACTTTAATAGCATTGTTTTGGTTTTTTTTATTTTCCCCCTAATTATAGGTTTTACCACCAAGGAAGGTAAAGAAGGCCACATTTTAGAATTTTCACATGACTGAATTTGAGTATCCCAAGCAAGAACACACAATCCTCATACACGTAAATGCCAAGAGCCCAGCAATTTCTCACAACACTCAGCTCCCTCTGCCCCACGGGCCAAGCTACAATGTCTTATTATATATTCAGCAACAAAGACAGTGATGTCTTCGACGATCTGAAACAAACACCAGATAGAAACTGACCTTAGAGAAGGTTAATGCTTTTCTGTACTCACCAGAGATGAACACCAGCATTGCCAAAGCCAATGCCAGCAAAAGCACTTGCGAGGTGCATGTTGGCTCTTGCTTCACGGTCTTCAGGGTTTCTGACGGCTCTGTGCACCATGGAGACAATGATACCAGTGAATTCAGAAATGGATTGGTAATTCAGGATGCAGAAGGGAGAGAGGGCTTCTTCATGGACAGATACAAAAACCTCTAAGATAAACTGAGATGAAAATGCTGAATATAGAATCAAGTCACGTTTCAGTCAGAGAACTATCCTGCTTCTGGATCAGTAAGTAGATCAAACTGGTTCACTCAAGGGCAAGTTTCCTTTCAGTTTTCCAAAAACTGAGTAAATAGAGTGAATTTAGCCATATTCACCTCAGTGGTGGTTTAAACAATTCTAATTGGGAGCTTTGGCAATCCTACATACAGCTCTAAGATCACTCCAGCTTTCTCACCATCTCATTAGGTGGTGGTCTGGACCTCACCATCTATGCAGGAAGAAGACAGGGTTCCTTGTCTTCATCTGCATCAGGCTGCTTGTGTAGTTTGACAAGATGGAGAAAAAAATCTGATTAACACATTCCACAGGGACAAGAAACAGCTACTTTGACTAGCTAGGTACTGTAAAAAGTCTTTTACAAAAAAACCCACATTGATCTTTAATAGAAGTGCATATGGTAAACATAAGCTGTATATAGGCTAAAACTTTATTGGTAGGCATCGAAAGCAATTCCCAGTTAACTCAAAACTTAATCTAAATTGAAGGTCTTCTACGTATGAACTAGTTTTCAGTACATGCATTTGTAAGTGCATGTGGTTACCTTCTTGATGTATGTATAAGCATCTTAATGTTCACTGATGGTCTCAGAAATTACACCAGCAGTATTTTGTTCAGTTTGTTACATATTCCCCTTTACTGTCATAGTAAGGGGATTCTTCAAAAAATGTGTGAATGCTGCTCCCATGTTAGCTGAGCAGCCTGAAATACCTTTAATTGAGGACTTTAACATAGATTCACAGAGGCATCAAAAAGCTACCTCCCCAAGAAAACCTGGTAACCCAAATTTTACTTTCACTTTTATTTGAAAACCTTTTTGCTTTATTTAAGAGAAATCCGGGCTACAAAATGAAGGCCTAATGTAGTAGTTTGCCTTATTTTCACCTAAAATTCAAGTTCCTCCAAGCATCCCTTTTTGGGTACTGAAGACTGAACTTACTGTGAAGGGGGTGGATGTTAAACGTGTTACCTTTTCAAATATTTAGCCACAATGCGCAAAGCATGAAGAGCCCAGACATCACTGATGGGGTTGCTGCCTTGGTAAGCTGGTCGGCTGATTGGATTTGAAGGGCAGGGACTGCGCATGGTGTAAGGAAGAGCTGTGTACGATTCTAGAGCGTGACTAAAAGAAAGATTAAAACCCAAATTATTTAAGTGGGAGAGCTCCATTGTACTGCCTTGCTGTCCTTTGAATGCAGATTCTTCTTATTTACTTATAGTGTTGCCAAACATAGAAATGCCATCTCAGAGACAACTGGGAGAATGCTGGGCAGGCACCTCTAGTGCGCTTCGTTCTCCAACAAACACAGAGTACCTTTCTTTTAAAAGTATTGACCTTTAAAAAAATTAGGAGTATGATATTTAAACTAAGTGAAACTACCAACAGTTTCACCTGCCAGATAGTTGTGAATCTGACTACATAAAGAAGAGGCACTGCCTACATTGCTACATTTAGATGTACAAAACTACAGACCTTTTCATTTATGAAAAAATGTCTCGATTCCATTACAGACACTGTAGCTCAGGATAGGTCACAAAGCTTGAGAAATCACACAGTTTCACTACACATCTGTTACTTTAATACACAGCACCCAGAAGCAAAGTAAGCTCTGGCCCTCCAAATAGAAAATTCCATGCATTTTGTGCAGTTAAAAGCTGCAGATTTAAGATGAAGAAAATTTTGTGCCAAGTAAAAAGCATATGATAAAAGAGGTTCTGAAGATGGTCATAATTGGGCTAAGACATGCCAGTATCTCACAAGCCTTCACAAATTTTTGTTGACACATTGTGGCTTGTACTAGAAAATCCTTGTTCTCTGTTCCCTGCCATGTCTATGAGACATGCTAAATGCTGTCACAATTGTGATTAATCATCTACCTGATCTCTCAAAAAGGGACATCCAGACTCTCTTTCCTGACAACCACCATCCTGGAAGCAAACAGTTTTTCCAGTGCACTGCAAAAACATTAAAATTTCTGCAACTGAGTGATTTGTTTCCATATATTCCGACGGAGGTAGTGAAATTAAGAAAGGGGAAAGTATAATGGAGACCACTTAAACAAGAACAGGAAAGGGAGGAAAAAGATCAACCTTTTCTTCTCCTAAAATGTATTTTTTCTACATCATAGTAAAAATACAAAATTGTAATAAATTCAAGTAGTAGCCTACACAGAAAACTCACCAAAGCACATCAAAGCCACTGTTGGCCACTATTCGCTCAGGCATAGACAGCGTGTGTAAAGGATCAATGATGCCTAACGTTGGCTTAATGGCTCTCGAAGCAATACCTGCAATATATGTGAGGAAAACGAGTTAAAGATTTTTTGCAACAAAATAGGACAAGACAAGGTTTAAGGTTCAAAACACAACAATGACGGGAAACGATCTGAAACTACAAAGATAAAGGCAAAGAGAGAGAAGGGAGAGGAAGAAGTATCTATGAATCTAAGTCTTACTGATGGTGAAGTCCCAGTAAGAGACTTATATGAATTGAGGCTGTTGCCTGAAGTGAATTATACCAGACAATGCTCATTCTCCATCTGTAACCCTCTCTGAGCAGCCCGTACTTTCAAAATGTCTGTGCTGAATGGCATCTGCAACATTATTCTTAGATTTGTATCTTCTGTGAACAATCAGAGGACAAGACTGATTTGCGTATACAATCAATTGCTATTGCTAATTGCTGTCTTCAGCATCTGCAATAACCAGGCCTTCATATTTTGGTTAAGAGGGCCCAGATGTAGCTTTGAGAGAGAGACATACAGACACACACAGACTGATTGACTATTACATACAGACTAGAGCTATAGTCAGAGCTCCTTAGCACACCCATTTGGGTCTCAAGTACTGTAGACTATGTGGCATATAAAATCCACACATTTAGAACTAAAACCTCAAAACAGCTATGAAGCTTAAGATGACAGTTTAGACTTAATCTTTATTTGCCAGAGATGAAAAGACCAAAGGAAGACAGTGCCCCTCACTCATGCAGCATCTCAGGCCTGAGGTTTCAAAAGTCAGGAAAAGGAACATTTGGTTGCAATTACACAACAAAGGAACAGAAGTCTTAAAAGCAGAAAGAAAAATACAGAGGAAATAAGGAACAGTTGGTTGACCCTGAATGTAAGTAGAAATTTCCTTTGCAATTAACATTTTCTGTCATTTAAGAACTTGAAAGATTTTAGTTTCCTGTTTTGCCTTCAAACTATAATCTACTGCATTATATAGGTATTTCATTATGTTAATATGCTTTATATTTAATTAGAGGAGGAAACGTGCAAGCTCTTCAAATTTGCCCCTGGCAGTTGAATCAAACAAAACGACACCTGAAATGACATGCAGTATCCCTTTCTTTCAAGGCAGGGAAATAATGAAGACATTGGAAAAGCAATTGTTTTGAATAGCAGACAAAAAAAAAAATCTCACCGGTTTTTACTTTTAGTTCTTTGAAGTCGAAAATGGCAACACCAGTGGTTTCACTTCCAGTTCCAGATGTCGTAGGAACTTAAAAGGAAGAATTGGGATAACAATAAATAATAAGTAATACATAATACTGCAAAATAAATAAATAAACCCACAATAGTAACGCCATCAAAAATACAGGATCGAGGAAATCTCAGAGGTATCACTGATCTGAAGCCAACAGGTCAAAGAGAAGCTGCCACTTTGATGTCTTTTCTCAGCAAAAGGAGTCAATCTCAGCTAAACAAAACAAGCTAATGGCAAAAACTTATTTTACCTCTACTGAAGTAAATAGCAAAATTGCTGCCGAACACAACGAGAGGAGAAATAAGCCCAAAGGACGCTGGAACAGTCATGGTAAACTGATTTCAGTAGAAATATCATACAGAGCGCAGAATGACTTCTCTTCTCCAAGCCCTCACTCTCCACATACTCTCCTCTTGCTTTACCTGCAATAAGTGGCTTGAGGGAGACAGTGACAGGCTTCCCTTTCCCGATAGGTGCATTGACATAATCCAAGAAGTCTGATGTAGGGCTGGACGCATACAGGTTGGCAGCTTTACAGGTGTCTATTACAGACCCACCTCCAACAGCAACATAGGCATCAAACTCTCCCTTTTTAGCAAATTTAATGGCATCCAGGAAACTTGGAAAACAAGAAGAGCTTTCGAATTAGTCAGGAGAAAAACATCACACAGAGAAACTAGCTATTAAGACCAGTGTACAGGTCAGAAGGAGGTGGTCAAACAGCTGTATGGCATGCTGTGAGAGAAGCGCACTGTCAGAAGTAGTACCTTTGGTCTGTTGGTTCCACCCGGACATTATCATACATCTGAAAGTTTATGCCGTATTTTGCCAAGGAATTCAATACTGCATTTACAGGAGGGAGTTGGGAGAGGTTTTTGTCTGTCATCAAACAAACTCTTCTAGCATCAAGATTCTGCAGGTCCTACAATAACGACGAAATTAAAAAACCAAACAAACTTCTATAAAATCATACATTGAACTATTCAAATATTAATCCAAATCAACTGAACCATTTAATAATAATAAAAAAACCAAACTAAAAATAGTAGGTTATTGTACAATTTTTGAAACAGTATCAGCTAAAGAAGACTAACCACATACATACAGGGTGCAGAAAACAGCATAAAGTATAAAGCTGCCCAACTTACATAGCTGAAGTCTTATGACAGAGTAAAACTACCAGTAAAGGTGCTGAACAAGTGAAAACCACACGGAACCACTTAAGACTGCAGTAAAATGTAAAATATTTTTTCAAAATATTTTTGTCCTACACAATTCCTGTGACATAAAGATGCTTTTCCACAGGTTAGGTCTCCCCTAACTGCCTGCCAGAGCACAGCATTAAAATCTTGAACATTGAATATTGGATATTATTTTATTGATAAAAAATCAAAATAAGGTGGCAAAAAGAAGAAAAATAATACTACATCCTAACCTTTGCTAAATTAATTGTCACAACAGCTATAAAATACATGCAATTCTAAATAATCCTAATGCTGTTTAAAGACAGAAGTTCTGTCTAACTTCATTTACTATCTGGCTATTAATTTACTTCACAAATTTGCAAATAAAAAAGAGAACTGTTAATGCCATAAATGCCAAAAAGAGAGGAAAAAATGATAAATGAAAAAAGCCAATGATAAAGGGAAACTGGAACAATGTACTCAGGTGAATCACCTCACACTGCTGAAACAAAAATTTCATACTTTCACAGTGCAAACTCAGAGCTGAATGAATATCTAGCTACCTTAATGGAAAATCTCTGATTCATTTTAATGAGAAAATCCTGGTGAGTCACTAGGATTCAAAACTTTTTGAATTAAATTCCCTTTCAGAGAAAAATATTGTTGCGTAACCCTGGCAAATCACCCACGGTCTAATTACCCACTAAGCTGCATTTCATGTACTCATTTATACCACAGCAACAGTGACGGAAAATGCTTCTGTTCTTCACCCAACAGTATTTTCTGGCCTTTCCACACTGGTAGATATGACTACACATACTACAAAGCAGTGGAGATTCAGACACACCATATATAAGCTTTCTCTTATAAAATGGATTGATAGCACCAGCAGCCCTCTTAGACAAATAACTCTTCATCAGTGAGGGACTTACACTATGGAAGCTTACCATGCCAATCTCTTTAGTAACACCTTCTCCATATCGGATGTTTGAAATGGCCATCTACGAAAAAAGAACATATTTTTTTTTCTCGAAAAATGGAGAAATGGCATCTAGTCCCAAGCAGTTCAAGTGAAATATAAATATTTGCTAATGTAAATGTTTGTTAAATGCCATATTTGGAAGTACACAAAATACTACTTTTAAATCAAATATATTTTATTATTAAATCTACCTCAAATGCATAGTCTGTATTTCCCAGGGTAGGCCGTTCAGGGACTGGAAAAGAAATCAAACAGTAAAATTAGGAAACAAAAAGCAACTTCAATCTGTATGTCAATACTAGAGTTGACAGACTCTTTTGCTTTTAAAGTCACACATATATTTGCACAGGTCATCTTGGCTTGTTGTACTAACAGTTACCCATTTCACCCCTTGTTGTTTGTGAGATTAAATGATCCAAGTACTTAATTTGATTCATACAATGCAGTGAAACAAGTGTGTTTTTTCCTTCTTTCAAGAATTAATTCTTTCCTATAAAAACTGAGTAAGTTAGCAGGAAGTTGGCAGGAGAATTTGTTTGCAGTCTGCAAAGACCAGAACAGCACATAGTAAGTAGAACTGAGCATCTGCAGAGCACACAGGCTGCTACATACAGGTTGAGAGCTGCTACAAATGTGTAAGGGCTACGTGGTAACTTTCAGAACTACTTTTAAGACAAATCCATGAGACATCCTCCATATGCACTCGGATAGAGAACATCTTTTGTACGTGTGAGAGTAACACCAACAGGAGTTTACACGTCTTTTTATTTCTGCCTAGTCCTGAACTGGCAGGTGAAAATGGAATAGCTTGCTTGAAAATTAAGAAACTATATGCATTGCTAATAATCGAGTTTTAATAAGAATCGGTGTGTCACTATCAACTTTATTTGGTAGAAGAGAGAAGATATTTATAAGGATAGTATTTCAGTCACATCCTCTCTCTGCCATGTCATTCTTGTGTAAATTACCACAAAACTCTCGATTTCTTGCATATCCTGATTTTGCCCCAAAGTGAAACAAACTGCATCAACTGAAACAGCCTATTCTTCTGCGAGAAAAGATCAGGTGAGGCATTCTGCTCTTTCTGCTGAAGTCATGCCTTCCGTCTGCTACATTAATTGAAAATATGTGATTTGGATTCAGATCCAATGAGTGAAGACATGATAATGAGTCTTACAGACACTCTGGGGTGCACTGAAGCACTGACCCACAACAGTAACAGATAGATGTATTAAAATCCTTTATGCACTTTCTATTCAAGCCCAAGCCAGCTGCTATCAGGCCTTTCATTGCCATCTCTTGCCAGGCTGTACATGTTTGACCTCTCCTGGAGTCTGAGTCTGCTGTACTCTCAGTCATTAATTTGACAGGCTAAGAACATGTCCAAGCCATGTACTCTCTTGCTTTCCGATAGTATAATAGATGCTTCACTGTTATATTCTTGAGCCAAACTTAACTTTCAGGAAGAATTTTATAGAGTTCCAAAATTGCACTGTTTCCTCGAACACTGACAAGAAACACAATGAACATTTTTTTTTCTGCTACAGTCACTGTTAAATCAATTCCCACTATTTACTGAACTGATACCATCTTACGACATTATAGGCTCAATCGCTGCCTAAGACTTACAGAAAGGGTTCTTAACTAAGACTTCTATTTAGCAAGGGCTTAGTTTGAATTGACTGAGTAGGTCATCCAGCAGAAAAGCAAAAGAATGAGATTCTATTTCTCAGCTGCGCTGTTGTCTTGCTCTAGGATGGTCTTTGGCAAAACAAATATCTGCACATATATATAGCTTTTCCATCTGTCAAAAGTTAATGGCAATTCTTCAAAAACTGTCTTAAGTAAAGCATGTGAAACCAAGCCACTCAGAATTACAGATTGCTGAAATTATGGCTCAAAATACAAATTTTTATTGGATCTGGAAACTGACCACTACAGATAGCCATTCCCATAGCCTTCCAACAGTCAAGGCAAACACAAATTCCTCCCAGGGTGACTCAGCCACTTGGCGCAGCTCTCCTGCTGCTCCACAACCCTGGTCTAAGCGAGCTACGTTCTTGGGACTGACTGTATAAAAAGCCTACGGAGATTACATTCCCTGAGCCAAAGCAGACCTCTGTGAACAGCTCCTTTTTATCCATATTGCCTCCTGTTTCTTTCCTAATGCAGCAGATGCGTATTTTTCCCCTCAAAAGCAGATCTAAAGTTGAGATGGCTCAGGTGCTGACAGCAGTAGTAACAGCCAGAGCAAATTTCTGATCAACTTGCCTCACGGTAAGGGGAGAGAGAGACGGCATGCTTTAGTTGTGGCTTACGTGGAAACAGTGAATCTCTCCAACAATAACCACCATCGTTGTACAGTTGCCAAATAACAGACTTATAAAGTGTTCTCTTTCCTACCTCTTGCCAGCACCCTCTGCCCAGGTTACGCCGATACATACAGCACTAGAGGGCCATGGTCTCCTGCAGAATTATTTTGGAGACACAAATTACATCTTACCTTGGGAATAAGTGTGGCAATGGCTCGGGCACCGACATCTAGTTAAACGGCAAAACAAACAAAAAAACACACAAACGACATAGTTAAATGAAAAACTAAAGCAGAAAACCGAATCTGTCCTTGCCCAAAAGCCCCCTGTATGCGCCCGCCCATGGCG